TTCCCCTCCCCCATTTCTGAAGAAGGGTCTAGGCCTGAAACGTCAGCTTTCCTGCTCCTCTGATGCTGCTTGGCCTGCTGTGTTCATCCAGCTCTACACCTTGTTATCTCAGATTCTCCAGCATCTGCAGTTCCTACTATCTCTTCTCCCACAGTTTTTTGAGTTTCATAGGGATGAATAAAAAAGTGTGGGGAATACATATAGCAACAATGATTTGCACTTCTCCTGGAGCATCTCCAACTAGTGACAGTACATTTGAACAGCATTTCAAATGTTTTATCACTTGTAAAACTAAACTTAAGTAGTTACACCAGTGTAGGTCTGAGAGAAGGAGAACAACACAGAAGTTTACAATCTTTACTTCACTGAAAGGAATACTGACCAAAGCTATGAATATAGAAGGAAAGACTAGTTTTAATTACAGGTGAAGCTCTGTTCATCAAAAACAGAGACTAATTCAACTAACATACACCCAGCAAACACCTACTTACCCAAACAGTGTACTTTGCCAGTCACAGATGCCATAAACTGGGTGAATGATAGATCCATAATGGGTGCATTTGTAACTGTGACAGTTTGAACCTTTGGCTTCAGTGCAAGTCCTGCTTTTGCTTCAGTTTCACTGACCATCACCTATTGAATTCATAATCAGTTAGACCAATACAAATACTATGCTAAACAGTGGGTATGTGGAATTCTTCATCCACCATTAACACTATTTCTGTAACCTCAATCTTAGTGTTTTCCAAAATCCTCAGATGCTTTGTAACGTGCAGTATGCAAAGCCAAAGTGAAACATCTAAACTAAGAAGGGAAAAAAGTAGAATGAGAAAAAATAAAAATCTTATTTATTCACTAGACTGCAGTTATTTTAGAGAGAATCCCAGCTCTTTTGACAGCCTGCATTAGCCAATATAAAGATTCTAAGGTCTCAATTTCAAACACATGGTGAGTTAGTGCAATGCAGTTGAGTGTCAGTCAGGGTGTTTTAATTGGCCCTTGCCCCTTAACTTGGGAAGGAACAATGATTGTTCCTGTCTCCAACTCTATCTAATCATCTCTGTTGGAAAGCACATTGGTGTGGACAGCAGTGGAGGAGTGGACAAAACTCATTTTGATACCTACACATAGAATATCCTGCCAACATTCCACCACCTACACCTAAACTTTAAAAATATTGACAACGTAGCACTGGAAATATTTTCAACACTAAATGCTTATCACATGTGCATGGATGAATATGCTAATTAGGCAGTTAGAATGTTAGGCTTACACCGATTTCATCTAAATGATTACATTAAACAACAAAGCAGACAGCTTTAAGTTCAATCTATACACAAATTTTTAACATTTGCATATAATCTAGTGGACATAATTTTCCTTACAAACTGGACTGGTTCAAGATCCTACATAAGAACAGACCTACAAATGAAACGAAGAACGACATTTTGACAATTAATCAATAGGGCCCCTAAGTTTACAAAGCAAAAATAAAGCTCCTAAAATGAAGCTGCCCCCTTTCATTCAAATACATAAATAATTTCAGATAATCATTGAACAGATTAAATAATATTAATTTCACCTGAATGATATAGGTTCCTGCTTTTGCTTGGAAACAGAATGATCCATGAGAATCCGTTTCTGTTATAACTGGTGAAGCTTTATCCTTACTTTGAGTGACCATTGCTAATTTATACTTGATGGGTGGTTTTAATCCTTCAGGGAACCGTTTGACAGCCACTTGCCCACAGACACTAAAGCTGTAGAGTAATGGAGAAACAATACAATGCTTTGTTGAAACTAGCTTCGAGACAAATAATATAGTGATGGAAAAGCCAGTTGAATACTTTTACATATAATGCATATTCCACCTGCTGCTGTAACCTCCTACCTTATAGCCACGATATCTGCCAATTGAGGTGTGTTAGGGGCGATCTTCACAGTAACTGGTTCAAAGAAGATGTGCTCCTTCTGCGTATTAATGGAGTATGTGCCTGTTGTCATGTTTTCAAGTCTGAATGAGCCATCTGCCTTTGTGGTTACTATATAATAAAGAAGAAAGCGGATAAACATGCAAGCATTCCAGGGGCTGCAAACAACAGTCTTTGTAATTTGGATTAGCATATAATGCATAATTTTCTTCTGGAAATGTCATTCTGCCAGCTTTATTTCACTGATTATCACACCACAGCATAAAATCAGTCACTTTAAACCTGCTGACATAGAAAATCTAAAGCAGAAATCCCCATGCCATCAATTTAAACACAAACAGGCATTAGTCTTGGCATTAAGTATAGCCATGCCACGACAGTTGTAACAAAATATTTGGGATAATTTCATTCAGAGTCTAAGAGTAATTTGGACCCCAGCTTATTCCCTATCATTTTATGCAATCAAATAGTGTTGCTTACAAAAACCCGATGGACAGCACACATATAACATCAATTTTTGACTCACATTTGGCCATTTGCAGAACAGCTAACAGGAACGGATTGACAGATTCCTGAAATATAACATCAATAGAACTGACCCCCCATCTCGTTGACAAGCAATGTGCAGACAATTTATTGACACTATTCCAAGCAAAAATACCCTCAGAATTAACTATTTCAGTTTTTATTCAGGTGTCTAACTCACAAGCACAATTACTTTTTTTTTAAAAAAAAGAGTCTACAGTGAATGACTGAGGTTTGTTTTTATTCTTAATTCAGAAATTTAAAAGAGTCAAAGTGTGTTTTAGAAAATTTTTTTAGACTGCAAAGGTTTTCTTTTTAAAACAGACTTTTTTTCCAATAAGGAGTTGTGTTTTCGTTCTGGAGAGTCCTATACATGGTCAGCTCTGGAGAATTTTCTTTCCTTATTGAAGAGGAAACATTTTTGTTCAGTTAATCAGCTAAGTGGTTGATTTTATTTAATTTTATATGTTTGATATATATTTTAAATTTTTTTCCATTTTAACATTATTTTCTGTAGGTAGTGAAAGATAGTTTATATACAGAGTGTTATTAAAACATTTTTTTTAGGCTTAACGTTATTAAGGCCATATATAAAGGTACAGAGTGAGATGGCTAGTAGATTTCGAAAAGTTATTGCCCAGCAGGATCAGTCAGATAGATGGATGACTGTCAGGAAAAGTAAGTAGGTAGTTCAAAAGTCTCCAGTGGCTATTCCTCTATCAAATAGATATTCATTTTTTGGAACAGTTGAAGGGAGTAGTCTCTCTGAGGAAAATGGAAGGGCCACTTAGTTATTGGACACTTAGAACAATTCTTGTGTTAGGCAGCGTTTGACAAGATTTAATAGAAGTACTGTTATAGGGGCCTTTCCTGTCAGGGACACAGACTGACGATTCTGTGGCAGTGAGCGTAAATTTAGGATGGTTTGTTGCTTTCTTGGTGCTAGGATTAAGAACATTTCTAAACGTTTCAAGCATATTGTTAAAGGTGAGATTAAGAAGCATCCATCAATCTCAAGGTCTCAGCTGTAAGAATTCATTGGGATTGAGTTGTTTTAACCTGGTTCTTAACTAGGCATGCTCACTCGCTGAGAGGCCACTTAGTACGATAAAACAGAAATGGGACAGTGATGGAATTAGCAATACTTTCTAACATTCATACTTTAGACAGTTACAGAAAATAGAAACATCTAAATTAGATGCAATAACGAATGCTCCCTGAGAAATTCTTTGCTATGCTATCTTTTCAGGATTAATGAGTAATGGACAATGTGCAATTGAAGGATATACTTGCCCTAGAGGGACTGCAACAAAGATTCACCAAACTGATCCCTGCAATGGTGGGACTGTCCTCAGAAGTGATTAAGGGGATTGTATTCTCTAGAGTTTAGAAGAATAACAGGTGATCTCATTGACACTTTCAAAAATCAACAGGAAAGATGCAGGAAGCATACTCCTCAGCATTCAGGCAGGTTTTTACAACCAGGGGACATAGTCTCAAAATAAAGGGCAGGTTGTTTCCAACTGGAAGAGGAGGTATTTCTTCACTCAGAGGATGATGAATCTTTGAAATAGAAAATTCCAAAGGGCTATGGAAACTCACTCAGAGAATACTCAAGACAAAGATCAGTAGATTTCTTAGTTGAATTAAAGACATTAAGAGATTTAGGGATCGTGCAGGGAAAATGCCATTGAGGCAGAAGATCAGCCATAATCTAGTTAAATAGCAGGTACTCCTGCTTCTATTTCTCATGTTCCTACATCCATTAGCTCTTCTCATCCATCTTGCTCATTTGTTAAGTGCTTGTACAATATAATGTTAAGAATTTTAGAAATTCAAACAGAAAACTTTACTCTATTTTATAACACAGACTGTGCCAAGTAAAACAAACCCGCTTGTTAATGATCTCAATATATTGACGCATGCGTGTATTTGCAGTTTTATACTCCACTTTCAATATAGGAATATACTTGTGCACGAGAAACTTACAGCAATAATGTCAAGCATCATATATTCATATTAGTGATATTTAAAACCAGAAAATATAATCATGTTTTGGTTGTAACTGCACAGAAACTTAATGAAACCAAAAAACAGAAAAGGCTATGATTAATAAGCTTCAGCAGTACACACTGTGCACAGGCCTTTGTTTCTCTATTGACTTTTTAAATATTAGCAAGTGTGACAATACTACAGCTTTAAAAGGTGTGTTTTGTCCTGGTTTCTTTAAGAAAAAGATTGGAGGACAGGTGTGGAGCAGTCTATGAGAAGATAAACAACGTGAAGTCTTGGGTGTTTTTTTTTGAAAGCTGGAACAATAGAAGCAGCCTGAACAGGTGTGGTCAAGCTCTCACCCACAGAACCAGGGATTTTAGGTTTAGCTTTCAGCTTTTACTGTTAGGGTCTTAAAGAAGTGAAAGCTATTTTTTTCCCTCTCTCAATTACAGCCAAAAACTGGGGGTTCTCTTCCTGGACTGCTGGATTGCATGTGAGACAAATCTGTGCTCTGAATTTGCCTTTTACCAAGGGTGTGTTTACAGCATGTTATTTTATTGGAACAGTTACTGTGTAGTGGTAAAATAATCGATTATTCTAAGAAGTTTTCCAATAGAGCTGTTATTCCAGTTCTTCTTTCTTTTGTTGTATTTTAATTGTAGTGTTTGAATAAATTATGTTTTGCTTAATGTCAAGTAGTTTGGCCAATCGAATTGCATCTGGAACACAGCACCTGACACCTTTTAAAACAAAAAAAAGTTAGGGTTTAGGCTACCTTCTTAATATATTTTGAGGGTGGCTGGTCTGGTCCTCAACACAGGTCAGGAATGAGACATTTCAGAGGGGATAAAAAATACTTTTTTCTGATACATATTTCCAATAGCAATTCACTTGCACATCGCGACACTCCATATTGTCGAGTCTCCAGATAATTAGAGATCGGATGCACAGCTGGAGATTCACATTGGACCCTGTGGAAGGTCCAGTGCACTGCATCCATGGAAAATGCCCAGGCAGTCTAAACTTGGAAAGGACTACTTGCTTACTCCCCAGGAATATGTGCTAAAGTCTCTGACTCCGGGTAGGAACCGGAGTCTTCAGACAGTTCAGCTCATCTGAATTGTCACATAGGAACTATTTGACAGAAAAATCCTTGTCAATTCCTAACACTTCAACCACTCAAACTGACCCTCTGCTCCCCTATCAATAGCCTACCCACTTGCACCCACTCCAACCACCTTAGTGAACTGCTCCCACTCCCAACTACCTACCATGCCTGAATATCTCCACAGCCTGAGTAATCTTCTGAAACCCCACCTAAACCTGACTCCCATCTTCTCATTCAACCAATTATATGCCCCTGACCTAAACGACTAGCCCCAACCCATCTGCCGCCTTGCCCAGTCGCCCCGACCCTGCCTTATCCACCCTCTCCATCCCCACCTTGCCCACTGATTCCAACTCCACCTCCCCGACTGCCCTGAAGCACTTCATCCTCCCTACCTATTCTGTAATATTCACACTGGACCTTTAAAACTTACAATCTGCCAGCCAGTGCCATATAAGTGTGGAGGGGAGTGATAACCACTCTTACCCAAGCTCTCCTGGGGCACTGCATGCCACATTTACGGGAAGCCAGGTTTAAAAGAAATGCACAGCAGTGTCGACGCTGCAACAAACCAAGCAGAGCAGCAACTCAATGGTAATTGCCAGAACCTGAAACTCCAGGGTAATATGTCCCCTCGTTATAATACAGCATAACTGCATTAAAACTGCATTGTTGCCACAGCCACCACCTTTCACGTACCTTTGATTTGGTTGCTGAGAATAACAGTAGCATAACGAACCCCTTGTCCATTTGGCCCATCCAAAACCCGGCCCGTAACAGAGAATCCCATCACTCGAAAGACAGGCTGCAACAAAGGACTTTGATAAGGAAATGCATACAAACAAGAAAATCTATACAAAGTTTTAAAGATAAACTCTGCTTTATAAACTGACCTGCAATGTACAGAATAAATGCTGTACACAGCAATAAACAAAAATATTTACTTCAGCTAATCAGTTCAGAACTGAAGAGAATTGAAATGTTAACTTTGTTTCTCTCTCCACAGATGCTGCCAGACCTGCTGAGCTTCTTCAACACTGTTTTTATTTCAGATTTACAGCATCTACAGTATTTTGCTTTTACTCACAAGATCATTGTTGGGAGACGGGTGAATGAAGTTGAGGTACTAATCAACCAGCATCTGACTAAAGTGTCAGACAGGCTAATCCTATTCCTATTAGGGTCTTTAGCTGTGCGAGTTGTCTGTGAAATTTTAAATTACACAGTAATGTACAAAGTTAATGTGTTACTACCCCAATGCAAATAGCTGGTTTCAAATGCACACCATGACAGTATTAAATTTGCCAATTCTTCTAAAACAGAACTTTGAAATGAGGGAAGTTGTTCCTATTAGTTTTTTTTTCAATTTATTGGATGCACAGTGGCTTAGTGATTAACACTGCTGCCTCACAGTGCCAGGGACCCGGGTTCAATCCCAGCCTTGGGTGACTGTGCAAACTCTACACAGACATTCTCCCCATGTCTGCACGGGTTTCCTCCGGATAGCCCAGTTTCCACCCACAGTCCAAGGATGTGCAGGCTATGTGGGTTAGCTATGGGAAATGCAGAGTTACAAGGATACGGCAGGAGGGTCGGTCTGGGTGGGATACTCTTCAGAGGGTCAGTGTGAACTCGATGAGCCAAATGGATTGCTTCCACACTGTAGGGATTCTATGACTCATACAAGTTAAACTGCCAGTACGCCACTCCAACGGAGATAACAGTCAGGCAAGCCAAGAAATTATGCTCAGCAATCTCTGCCAAGAACAGAGTGCTAGAAACAGTTACCAACATAAATGTCTTTTTAATTTCACTTCCTTTTCTACAGAAGTGCTCAATGTTCTCTTGTTATCTCCTGCAGACTATAGGTACACTGTTAGCAGATTGGCACGCTTGGTTTAGCTCTTTAACAGTAGCTCAGTTTGACGGATACAATATGCATACCTGGGACACAGTTATCATTTAACAGCAAATCACAGGCACTTGTCCTGCACTTACTGAAAAGCTGTACAAGCTGGAGTGCAGAATTCCATCAACTGCACTGGTTTCTAGTTAATTACTAATTAGAATTCATCAGCAAACAGCTTCCATCATGGAATGGCCCCACATTAAGGTCAGCATGACAATCAACACGTTAATTAATGGTTACACAGGAACCGAGGAACACAGAAAAAAAAAAATCTACTTATTTATACTCTTCTTAGTTATTCAAACAAACTGGACTCATGATAATTTTGCAGAACGTTACCTCAATCCTTAAACTGTTATGTGCCACAGAAAAATCTAATCTTGATGGGGCAACATCAAATGTAATTCTCTCACCTCTGTAGAACGGTACCTAGAATTTAAAGAATTAACAATATTATAATGTAAAGAATGCAAAGAAACTTATTGGGCTTTCAAACTTGACAAACCAACAATCATATGTTCATCAGAATAAATAGTGCACTCTTTTCACCAAACCTTACAGGCTAACCTTAATAAACTATCTAGTACTGATGTTTACTTCAAATAACTTGGAAAACTTAAGCTGCATCTATTTCACTAATTTAAAAGAATATGCAAAGAAACAAGGAACAAAACAAGTTCAACATGAACCATTTAAAATACAGGTGCTGGTAACACTATCTTCAAAAAGGCGACAGCAAACCTTTTATTTGGCAAAGGTTAACATGCATGCAATATTGAACCAGATTTGGATGCAGGTTTTAAAGTCTTCCCCACAAATAATTTTGCATTAAACAATACAAGTGTGTCTTGGTAAAGCCAAGGACGAGGGACACGTTGCACCGTCAACAGGAAATTCTAGATGAGACAACTATCCACTCTTCACAGGACGTCTCACTGCAGGAAGGAAGTGATATAAGTCAGGAATCGTGACTGGCTTGGAGGGGAACTTGCAGGGGGTGGTGTTCCCATGCGCCTGCTGCCCTTGTCCTTCCAGATGGAAGTGGTTGTGGGTTTGGAAAATGGTGTCTAAGGAACCTTGGTGAATTTCTGCAGTGCATCCTGTAGATGGTACATACTGATGATACTGTTTGTCAATGGGGAGGGTGTGACTGTTGAAGGTGGTACACAGATACAATTTACCATGCTGCTTTGTCCTGGATGGTGTTGAACATCTTCAGTAATGTCGGAGCTGCACTAATCCAGGCAAGTGGAGGTTATTTATCACACTCCTGTCTAGTGCCTTGAAATTGGTGGACAGCAATTGGAAAGACAGGAAGTGAGCTTCCCACTGCAGAATTCCCAACATGTGACCTACTCTTGTAGCGACATGAGTAATATGGCTAGTCCAGTTCAGTTTCTGATCAATGCTGACCCCAGGATGTTGACAGTTGGGGATACGGTAATGGTAATGACTAATGAACATCAGGCAGTCCTCCTAACGCAGATGCTCACTCTCTAAACAGCATGAGGGAATGCCACTTGTATTATATTTTGGGTATTTTTCACATTTCTTCAAAAGCCGCTCAAAGATTTTAACCTTTTGTTCTTTAGTTTGACAGCAGCAACAGAAATGCAGAGAAGTAAAACTAATGAATGATCAACTCCAAGAAAGATTTTAAAAATTTCACCTAATTGCTGTGAGCTCCCAGTGGAATTTACCCTTCTATCGCTCTTAGGTATTTGTACTTCTTCAATATCTGCTCTGCATCTTTTCAATGACATTATTCCTTTCTTTTTTTCCCAACTTCCACTCTTTTCAGTCCTCTCCATATCTTCTTCACTGACACAGTTTAATTGTCTTCCTGTTCCCTATCCTTCCATGTCCTGTAAAGTGCCTTTAGTCTGCTTTCCCCACTGCAACAACTTAGGAGATTTACTTCTATTTAAAAACGAACAGAAGTTTGTAAATGAAGAAGGAGGGGCAGGTGATTGAGGCCAATAGTCAGCTGCAGATTACGTCAGTAAAATGTCAAAATGTGAGGTCATGTACTTTGGTGGAAAGAGTGGAGGAGCTGAACATTATTTAAATTGACAAAGACTGCCAAAAGCTGCTGCACAGAAGGATTTAGGTGTCCTTCTACATGAATCACAAAGAGCCAACACCTAAGCATAGCAAATATTAGGGAAAACAAATGGGCTATTGGCCTTTATTTCAAAGGGAACAGAGTGTGAACATATGGAAGTCTTACTTAAACTATACAAGGCATTATTCAGACCACACCATACTCACTCATCTCCATCCACATGGATGAGGAGAACCACCAATTCGACTGGGACAACACCAAGATCCTGGGACAAGCTAAGCAGAGACAGGCACAGGAATTCCTAGAAGCCTGGCACTCCACGAAGAAAGCCATCAATAAACACATAGAACTCGACCCCATATACACTCCACTACGAAGAAAAACTGTAAGTGAGGCAATCTAGCTCAACGGACTCCAGAGTTTAAAAACCAGGCGGGAAAACAACAGCACTTCATCGGAGGCTGCACTGATGATGTTACCCAGCAGGGTAATGAAACGTCTGCGGAACAACAAACCAGCTCGGCGAGCCAACCAACCGCAACACCAACAACCCGAGCTACAAATCTACTCCGAAACCTTAGACACCTACAATACTGTGAACAGTTCTGGGCCCCTTACCTAAAGGAAAAATATAGTGGCATTTGAATTAGTCCACATAAGGTTCACTCAGTTGATCCCAAGTATGGAAGGATTTTCTTGTGAGTAGGTTTGGCTCGTAGTCAATAAAGTTTAGAAGAATGAGAAGCGACCTCATTGAGACCTGTCAGATTCGTAGAGTGATTGACACAGTAGGCGGGGAAATACTGTTTCCTCCTGTGGGAGAATCTGTGATCAGAAGATCAAAATAAGAGATCACACATTTAAGATGGAGATGAGGAGACAGACTGTGGACTTCTTTCCCACAGAAAGCTGTAAAGGCTCTGTAATTAAATCTATTCAAGATTGAGATGGATGGATTTTTAATCACTAAAGAAAACAAGAGTTCTAGGGAAAAGGCAGGAAAGTGCAGTTGAGGATTTTCAGATCAGCCATGATCTTACTGAATGGCGGGGCAGCCTACTTCTGCTATTACGTCTCATGGACTTATTAGCAGTGCAAGGCAAAACCAGAAAGTAGCACCAAATGCAGTGGGACAGCAAGACTAAGCCGGTCAACGGAGGCTGCAGGAGAGGACCCAAAAAATTAAAATGTTAATTAACTTGCATCAACAAAATCAAATTTTCCGCAGTGGGGCTTATGAAGGAAAACGTAGGCCCCTAGGGACACCTGGTATCCAGAGTTTGGGACTGCAGACAAAGATTTTCTAGTAAAATAGCTGTGTTTTCTGCCTTCAAGGAGCACGCACAGTGACACATCTGCACATATCCGAGTGAATGAGATTTGAAGTGTTTCAATTGTCCCCCGATTTTCATGCACGATTTTACTGGAGTTCGGGAACCAGGAGGAGGGATCAGGAACTGGGCAGATTGAGGGTGAGGGTAAGGGTAAGAGATGAGGAATTGGGAAGCTGAGACATGTTGGAAACTGGAAGACTAGTAGAGCTCAGCATCTAGGAGTGGGGATTTGGGAACCAGGAAGGAGATTTTCAAAGTCCAGGGTGAGCCACTGGACCAACCTGAATCAATTCTCAGATCTCAGGTGCCTCTTGAAAACAAGGACAGGCACTGACAATGGAATTCAACATTTCCTCCAGTATGCCAGCACAGCCTTTGACCCTCTGAGTGACTGATGCCAAAAACGTCAAACCAGGCACCAAGCTCATGGTCTTCAGAGCAGCAGTTTTGCTTCCCTTCTAAACCTGTTGGAGATGTGGACCACGTACAGCAGTCACCTCAAATCCCTACAAATATCTCAAATTATGCCTCCACAAAATCCTACAGATCCATTGGAAGGATTAGCACTCTAATATCAGACCAACATCCCCAGTATGAATGCACGGGTCATGGTTAATCTTACGGGCCATACATTCCGTATTTCTGACCTAAGATGAGATCACTACTCTTGAGGTCCATCACAGGCAATGGTTATCAGATGTACAGAGGAAATACTTCAACAGCATCCTCGAATCCTCCAAGTAAAATTGCAAAATCCCAACCAAATTGTCAGAATCTCTTGTCAAAGACTATCCAAGCGTCCGCAAAGATACCAACCATCTCTGACAGGCCCAGGTGGAGGCAAAATGATATAAGCATCGCTGACTAGAATTTATTGCCCATCTCTAATTGCCTGGAGAGCAGTTAAGAGTCAACCACATTGCTGTGGGTCTGGAGTTACAGGTAGGCCAGACCATGGTAAGGGCCGCCCCTAAAGGACATTACTGAACCAGGTGGATTTTCCAATTATCAGCAAGTGGTGGGCATGGTTTGAGCAGTTCGCTATTCCTCCATATTTTATTGAATTCAAATTTCACCATCTGCCTGGGGTTCTGGATTATTATCCCAGTGGAAGTAAGTATCACTCCATCACAGCCTTCCCATTAGAAGAGAGCAGGTGACACCTACACACACCAGCGAAAAGCAGCTAGCTTTGTTGACTATAGTTAAGTACAGACTATAATTCTAGAGAACACCTCCTCTAAAGTCGAGCAGACCCAGGCTCCAACTCCAAAGATGACACTGGTGTCATTTCCTTTACTCTACGCAGTCAGGTCAAAGTTTTATTTTTACAATTTCCCACTCCGTTTGTTGCATGTAAATGCACAACTTTTTAAAACTTATTCTTTCATTGGATGTGGATATTGTTGGTTAGACCAGCATTTGTTGCTCATCCCTAACTGCCCCTTGAACTTAGTGACTTGCCCTTTCAGAGGGCAGTTAAGAGTCAAGCAGATTACAAACACATGCAGACTGGACCTGGTAACAATACCAGATTTTCTTCTCTAAGGGACAAAGGACTATCACTGCTTGGTCAGAATTCCAGGTTTACTCACTGACTTTAAATTCAACCAGCTGCCATGGTGGGATATGAACCTGTGACCTCAGGATATTAACCTGAATTACTATCCAGTGATGATACCTAAGGTTTTAGAGTAGATTTGTAGCTTGGGTTGTGGATGTTGTGGTTGGTTGGCTCACCGAGCTGGTTCGTTGTTTTTCCGCAGAAGCTTCATTACCCTGCTGGGTAACATCATCAGTGCAGCCTCCGATGAAGCGCTGTTGTGTTTTCCCGCCTGTTATTTGAACTCTGGTGTCCGTTGGGCTGGATCACCTCACTTCCGGTTTCCCTTCGCAATGGAGTGTATATGGGGTCGAGCTCTTTCTTTTTCTTTCACTGGTACTCCACGAAGAAGTCGACCCCATTTACACTCCACTGCGAAGGAAAACCGGAAGTGAGGTAATCCAGCTCAACGGACCCCAGAGTTTAAATAACAGGCGGGAAAACACAACACCGCTTCATCGGAGGCTGCACTGATGATGTTACCCAGCAGGGTAATGAACCGTCTGCGGAAAAACAACAAACCAGCTCGGCCAGCCAGCCAACCACAACAGTGATGATACCGTGATACCACTGTCTCTTCCTCTCTGCCGTTCGTGTAAACCCAGAAAGGACACTTCAAAACCTTTCTGATGCAGCCTGGAAAAATCACTTACTCACCACTATATATTCTCCACTGGGGAGGGATGGGAAAATGAACGATCCATCTTCTCCTGACACAACACTGCACAGGAAAGGTGAGGCTTCATCTGCTGTTTGAAATCCTTCAACAGGAGAAAAATTACAGCCAAAGGTATCCTATCAGGAAAAGACACTGCATTACTTGCCACAGAAACGTCTTCGCAAGATGAAAAATAATGACAATTTAGAGGCTTCCAAAGGGATCAACCATAATTGCAATAATCCCACAAGAGTACCCCTGCTTATTTAGCTGTGTCAAAGATGTTTAAAAGAGAAAAGTGAAATACAGCAAACTTTTATTAACCAGCATCTATGGAGCATGCCAGTTGATCAAATTTTCCGTATAATCAAGAGGTCCACATTATCAATGTAAAAACACATTAAGTAATAGAAATATAATGTAGGGGGTATACACATCAGTGTTATACTATAGTTACAGCATAAACCACTTAAGTAATAATGCAGACCTTGCCTTAAGTAAAATTTACCAGCAGAGAGCCTTCTCACGCACACCCTCAACTGACTACACAGACATCACGGAGATCACAGTATGTGAGGAGAAAATGATTCAAAATTGAAATCACTGTTGATATTTTTTGTGACCATTCAATTGAACAACAAATATATTTACACTGATGTAAATAAATTAACTGTAATAATTGGACAGAATAATACAGTAAACTTCACAGTTTTTGAAGAATATAATTTTTGCTGGTTTACCAAGAGTGCTTGTTCATAAGGAACCGATTAAAACAACATTTGATGTAAATACATTTTTAAAAGGATAAACTGTGTGCCTTTTAAGAACCAAACCCAATAGCAAATAATTCGGGAACTTTACATAAAATCCTAATTCAGCTGTTTATACGAAGATCAGATCATTCACACTCACCTGCCTGGCGACCGATGAGGAAAACAGTAGGAACACTACTCCTTTCATTGGTTCTCCATCACTACGTACAGAGCCCACAACCTCATATCCAGCAACAACAAGAGAATCAAACGCGTTTGCATTAGAATTCAGCACCTGTACTGAGGTAGACGCCTAAAGAACAACAGAAGAAATAGTATCTTACAATTCAAACCACCTACTATAGCTAAACAACTTCAGGCTTCACCTGAAAATTCTAATGAAGAAATTCAGTTTATTAATATAGGGCACCCCCAACAAAAGAAAAATCACAAGGTAAATGAAAACCCCAACATTCATGATACAATAGGGACAAACACAAGGAAATTAACAGAAACCATCAGAAACAAAGAACGTAGGAGCAGGATAAGGCTATTTGACCCCTTAACCATGCTGCTGATCATCTATCTCAAAGCCATATTCCCACTTCCTCCCCATTCTCCTTGATGCCTGTAAAAATCTAAAAACGTATCAATCTCATTGTGGAATATATTCAATCACTTGTTCTCCACAGCCTCCTACAGTAGAGGATTCCACAGGTTCACAACCCTCTGAGTGAAGAGATTTTTCATCACCTCAGTCCTAAATCAACTACCCGAGATTGAGACTGTTTCCCCTGGGTCTAGATGCCCCAACTAGGGAAAACATCCTCTCTGCATCTAATCTGAACAGCCCTGTAGGAATTGTATACGTTTCAATTCGATCCTCTCCCATCCTTGTAAACTCCAGGGAATACAGGCCCAGTCAAACCAACCTCTGTCTTCACAGGACAGTCCTGCCAAAAACAGCATCAGGCTCGTGAAACTCCACCGCATTCCCTCTACGGCAAGTATATATTTTTTAAATTCATTTGTGGGACCTGGGCATCACCGGCTGGGCCAGCATTTATTACTCATCCCTAGTTGCCTTTGAGAAGGTGGTGGTGAGCTGCCTTCTTGAACCACTGCAGTCCACCTGCTGTGGGTCGACCCACAATGCCATTAGGTAGGGAGACCAAAATTACATGCAACAATCTAATGGACCTGCTCAGATAGGATGTAAAGAACATGTGTAAATCTCAAGTGGTTTATATGCCTATGTTAACTTCAGCCAGAGGTTCAAATTGCTGGATTATTATTAAACACTGTCTTCCAAATACATTCAGGGTTTTTTCTGATGTTTGCACTGGAAGGGTGAGTACATGCTGAAGCTAATAGACAGTAGCATCACTAATGTGTGACACTATTTGTTAATGAATGACATTTCATTGAGAGATAATCAGCAGGTCATCAGGATCCTCTATGCCTGTTACACAACTACAGTCACACCATCTGAACCTGGAATGGATATATAATATATATTTATGTGAGACCACATAAAAATACTCACTGAAACACCAAAAATTATTCACCTTCAAAATTATCCACATCTACAGCTACATGCTATTAACCAATTATCACAAGCAAACCTACCTTCTGTAGAGTCCAGGTGGGGTGGGATGCAAAGATTTCATAGTCACCAGGTAGCACCTTTGTAAATACATACCTGCCAAAGGAAACACAAGTGAGATTTCTTTCAGAGAGAAAGTGAACTCCTCCTCTTCACCATAGTGAAGATATTGATAAACAGGTACATACTTTCCTCCAGTTTGAGTCAATGAAGTCTGGTCAACAACTGTTCCAACCTTTCTTAAGGTAACGTGAACCCCAGCAGGCCCTGAGGTTTGACCTTTGCTTAAGACCTAATAAATTAAAAAAAGTCAGAATATTTCAAAATCATGAAAAATGTACTTTTCTTGTATATACATTTACAGGATGTGGGTGTTGCTGGCTATCACAGCATTTATTCACCATCCAAACCAGCTGTGGAAGTGGTGAGCTGCCTTCTTGTAGTGTGGGGACACCCAAATGCTGTAGGGAGGGAATTCCAGGATTTTGACCCAGCGACACTGGAGGAACGGCAATATATTTCCAAGTCAGGACGGTGAGTGGCTTGGAGGGGAACTTGCAGGGGTGGTGTTCCCATGTATCTGCTGTCCTTGCCCTTTTAGGTGGTAAAATCATGGGTTTGGAAGGATCTGTCTTAAGAGCCTTGGTGAGTTGTTATGGGACATTTTGTAGTTGGAACACGCTACTGATATTACGCATTGGTGATGTGGGGAGTGAATAAGGGGAGGCAATGGCCTAGTGGTATTATCGCTGGACTGTTAATCCAGAGACCCAGATAATGTTCTGGGGACCCGGGTTCGAATCCCGCAATGGCAGATGGTGGAATTTGAATTCAATAAATATCTGGAATTAACAATCTAATGACGACATGGTCGATTGTCGGAAAAACCCATCTGGTTCACTAATGTCCTTTAGCGGCGGAAACTGCAACCAATACCTGGTCTGGCCTACATGTGACGCCAGACCCACAGCAATGTGGTTGACTCATAGCTGCCCACTGGGCAATAAATGCTGCCTAGCCAGCGACACTCTCATCCCACGAATTAATAAAGAAAGTTGATGATGGTGGTGCGTAGGATGGCAATCAAACAAGTTGCTTTGTCCTGGATGACCTCAAGCTTCATATTGGAGCTGACCCCATCCAGGCAAGTGGGGAGTATTCCATCATACTCCTGCCTTGTGCCTTGTAAATGCGAACAGAGTTTCGGGAATCAGCAGGTGAGTTACTCACTGCAGAATTCCCAGCCTCCGACCTGCTCTTGTACTTTTACCCACCGGCAATTTTATGACATGATATGTAAATAATCAATGGCAGATGCTTAGCTTTAATAGCAAAATGGCAACTTGAAGACAGAACTCCTGTCACTGGGTTTCTTCATGAATAATCATCTTGCGTTTCATGGATTTGAAATGTCTTCAGCTTACTCCACCAAATATATTAAATCAATTATTTCCAATAAGGCACGAAAATGGTTTTACAGTAGCGGTACCGTCTAGAAACAATTCAATGGCTATATGTTTCTCCAGCAACCTGAAAATTCACTCTTACCTTTCCAGAGACAGAAAACCCAGTGAAGACAAAATTGATGTCCTCGCCTTTGGTGCAAATGTCATTAATACCATCGACATGAAGATCCACATTTGTAGGTTCTGTTCATAAAATGAAACAATTGTCTTCTTAAAAGTAGTGAATATTTATAAACTAGCAGACTTCTTGTGGCATGGCTCAAATTCAGGTGATATTGCATTTTCACAGACAGGAGTGCTAATAGGTGCAATGCAATATTCTACAGCTAAAATGAAGGTGTTTCCCTTCATACTGACAAAGGCTGATCACTGTTGAGTAAGTACAGTTTCAGATCAATGTATAATGTCCAGCAAGGGAACTCTTTTTCTAAAAACACTAAGTTTTTACCTTCAGATCAGATCCACACAGTATCCCAATAAATTTTATCGAAAAGGATGATTATTTTGCATCAGTTATAAAGTTTGGACAGCCAGCATTTGATTCGTACGTTTTAAATTTACTTGCATTTATTACTTGGGTTCTAAACCATGTGTAATACATAAAGCTAAGTAGTTAGAAGCCACCATCCACAGATCTATCACAAGATCATAGACTGGTTATAGCACGAGGCCATTTGTGAAATTAATGTATTGCCGTTCCTGTCTTTTGCACATAATCCTGCATATTCCTCCTCTTCAAATAATGATCCTATTCCCTCTAGAGAAAGAAACAGAGTTAACATTTCAAGGCTGTTGTAACTTGGGGAAGAAGAGTCATATTGCACTCAAAACATTAACTGGGTTTCTCCAGCATTCTCTGTGTTTATTTAAGATTTCTGCACGATTTTGCCTTCATCCCTCCAGACTGCCTTCATTGAACCCTGCCTCCACCACACTCTCAGGGAGTTCATTCCAGATCCACGCACTGCATGAAAAATATTTTCTCAATTCTTCGTTGTTTCTTTCTCCAAGCATCTTCCTTCCTCCTTGCCCTCCAAACACAGCTGTGGGGACCATTTAAAATTATTCCCAGGTCAAAAGTGGTTCCAAAATATAAAAGTCAATTCCTTATCAAGTGGACCAATGCAGCTGTGATAGCTGCAGATGAACCCTTAGTCCTATTTCAGGGAGCTTTGATGCAACATTCAAATATTCTGAATGCAACTGACAGGTGCCACAGAAGTACTCCATGATGATGCCAAACAAAATTGAAGCAAATGTTTTCAAAAGTACAGATTTGTAGAGTCCCATAGGTTGAATGTTCATAGAATCATAGAATCCCTACAGTGTGGAAACAGGCCCTTCGGCCCAACAAGCCCACACCGAACCTTGGAGCATGCCACCCAGACCCATCCCCCATAACCCATCAAATCTACACACCCCTGAACCCTACGGGCAATTTAGCATGGTCAATTCACCTAACCTGCACATCTTTGGACTGTGGGAGGAAACCAGAGCACTCGAAGGAAACACGCAGACACGGGGAGAACGTGCAAACTCCACACAAACAGTTGCCCGAGGGTGGAATTGAACCCGGCTCCCTGGCACTGTGAGGCAGCAGTGCTAACCACTGAGCCACTGTGCCGCCCCAATGTTCTATGGATTAACTGTTGAATAAAATTTTTACTCTTTCAAAGGAGATTTTTGCAAATCTATTGCTGCTTCAGATCTGTGTTGGACAAACTGACACACTGCCTGAAGGCTGTCAGAGCATGTTAGCATGTTACCTGCCCAGGGAGTGGGTCAATGTATAGATGGGTCCCATATGTATTTGACCTTCCTATTATATCCCTGGAAAACAAGTGGCAGAATTTGCAGGTTTTTTACAACTGTACTGATTGATTTATTGTCATGTGTACCGAAGTACAGTGAAAAGCTTCGTTTACAAGCTGTACAGGTGGATCATAGTAAGCAAGGATGCACAGATCAAAGCTTGTAAAAGATCTTAGACAGAGGCACACAGGTTACATTACACAGCGCATGCTCTGGGCGAGACCAACATCAACAAGATCAGTCTTATTTGAGGCTAGAGAGTCCATTCATCAGTCTGATAGTGGCCGGGAAGAAGCTGTTCCTGAACCTGCTGGTGCGTGTGTTCAGGCTTCTGTACCTTCTGCCTGACAGAACAGGTTGTAGGAGATCATTACCGGAGTGTGATAGGTCTTTAATGATGTTGGCAGCCTTTCTGCGGCAGCGAGCCATGTAAAGAGAGTCCATGGATGGGAGGTTGGCTTCTCTGATGGTCTGGGCTGTGCATACAACCTTCTGTAGTTTCTTACAGTCCTGGGCAGAGCAGTTGTCATACTAGGCCGTTATGCACCCAGACAATATGCTTTCACTGGTGCATCTATAGAGGTTTGTGAGGATCCCTATGGACATGTCAAATTTCTTGAGCCGCCAGAGGAAGGAGAGGCATTGTTGTGCCTTTTTGACCATCGCATACGTACATTTACGACAACTCTGCACCTACACCACGAGATACTTACTGGCAAGTTTCTAAATAAAAAATCCATTTACAGGTTTGTTATTCATCTGTAATCAGCTGTTATTTTAACAACAAACAATGTTGTTTTACGATCATAACTGTAAAGAATTTAAGATTGCTATTGAGCTGGTAATCATGGACAAACAATTACAGACCCATTATTCGGCAATGGTGTGACCCTAACATTTCAGTATCATCAGTAATGCACCATGTTAATTCATTTAAAGTCATTTCACACAAGAGCGTGTAACAATCAATCAACAGTGTAAATATTTCAAAAAGACACATTCGCTTGTGTAGGCTGAATAATGAGGTACTCACCAAAGCTCCAGCCAAGAGGTGGCTCAATCTTTAAAACGAAATCCCCCTACAAAGCAAAGAAAGACATGGTCTGACTACACACAAAGTATAATACGCAAGATGGATGACAGTACATTCATCAAACATTGACCGCTCACCAACGGAATTATGAATCTGCAGATTTCTTTAACACAGTTTTTAGTACAATGTTCTAAATCAGAGCATTTACTGAAAATGTAAACAATTCATTCTACAGAATTTCATTTCCAGTGAAACTCAGATTTTTTTTAATCGAGGCATAGAGCTTTACAGCATGGAAATAGACCCTTTGGTCCAACCCATCCATGCCAACCAGATATCCTAAATTAACCTAGTTCCCATTTGCCAGCATTTGGTCCATATCCCTCTAAACCCTTCCTATTCACATACACATTCAGATGCCTTTAAATATTGTAATTGTACCAGTCTCCACCACTTCCTCGCGCAGCTCATTCCATACATGCACCACCATATGCATGAATAAGTGGGCCCTTAGGTCCCTTTTATATCTTTCCCCTCTCACTTTAAACTTATGCCCTCTAGTTTTGAACTCCCCTACCCTGGGGAAAGGACCTTGGCTATTCACCCTATCCATGCCTTTCATGATTTTATAAACCTCTGTAAGCCCTCAGCCTCTGATGTTCCAAGGTATTAATGTAATGAGTCACCCTAGTTTCACAAACTAAACTGGCTGCCATTGTTCAAATGACTGTAGGTGCATGTCTCTCAAAAGTAGGAAGATCAATAAAAAATTTGGATCATATGAAGAGTTTTGAATCTAAGAACAGGCTTTGTCCCAAACTAACAAGTCAAGGTGAGCACAAATTAATATTACTATCATAAAATGCACGAAGCGGTTTTTAGTACAAATTACCTTATCGTACAGCGGAATCATGAAGTAACCATTGTTGGGTGCACAATCTGTCTGGTATTTCAGTGTGCCTTGTTTTGTGTACAATTTAATCTGTGAAGCAAACAGAGATTTCATTCAACATTACAGAGGTTTTAAAACTGTTACTCCTAAATCTCAGTTCAAAAGGTAGTACTTGCTTGATCATTTATTCCCTTACCTCTTCTTAACCTCTCCCCTCGCCTGAGGCATGGTGACCTTCAAGTTAAACCACCAACAGTCATCTCCCTCTAACTTTCCTGCTCCCCTGATGCTGCCTTGCCAGCTGTATTCATCCAGCTCCACACCTTGTTATCTCAAACTCCAGCATCGGCAGTTCCTACTATCTCTCTCTAACAAGAGACTAGCCCTATGGTCTGATAGGACTATGGTGACTTTACCTTTACAACTCAGTTAATAAAGCCCAGGATACCATACACTTTATTAGGTGCTGTCTTATTGCTTTCGATGAGTTATGCCCATTTACCCTTCTCCTTTGGCTGAGTTGCCATCAGGGAAAAATGTCTTTGGTGGTGGGGTCGGATTGCAGATGGCGGAAGTGTCGGAGGATGATGCGTTGGATCCGGAGGTTGGTGGGGTGGTATGTGAGGACGAGGGGGATTCTGTTTTGGTTGTTATTGAGGCCTTAAAAAAATTTGTAAAAATCAACATGGTGACAGAAATGCTTTCATGTTAATCATTCATTTCAAACACAGAGAAATCCGTCAGTTACTGTCTCAAAAACCAGAAACCTAAACTTAGAATAAATGATATTAAATATATCAATCACACAGTTTACATCACAGCAGTCATGTGTCTTCTTGGACATGAATGTCCAAATGATTTTCTGATCTGTTAAAAGAAAGATTTTGAAGGTTGCAGGAACAGCAACTCATATTCCGCTTGGGTACCCTCAGCCCAATGGTATCAATGTGGATTTCACAAGCTTCAAAATCTCCCCTCCCCCTACCGCATCCCAAAACCAGTCCAGCTCGTCCCTGCCTCCCTAACCTCTTCTTCCTCCCACCTATCCCCTCCTCCCACCTCAAGCCGCACCTCCATCTCCTACCGACCAACCTCATCCCGCCCCCTTGACCTGTCCGTCCTCCCTGGACTGACCTATCCCCTCCCTAACTCCCTACCTACACTCACCTTTACTGGCTCCATCCCCGCCTCTTCGACCTGTTTGTTTCCTCTCCACCTATCCTCTCCTCTATCCCTCTTCTATCCGCCTCCCACTCTCTCCCTATTTATTTCAGAACCCCCTTCCCCTCCCCCTTTTCTGATGAAGGGTCTAGGCCTGAAACGTCAGCCTTTCTGCTCCTATGATGCTGCTTGGCCTGCTGTGTTCATCCAGCCCTGCACCTTGTTGTCTCGGATTCTCCAGCATCTGCAGTTCCTACTATCTCTGCTATATTAATGCACCTATTACCCTGACCCCGGTGAATAAATCAAGGCACTCCTTGGTGATATGTTAACTCAAGGTTTGGCATTTTGTCCCATTGAATCATTGACATCTCCAGGCGCCATATAAATGCAGCGTTTGCCCCAGAACCGGCTGAATTAATCACTGACATGATTAGGCGCAACATTAATGCAGTCACGCCTTTGCTTGACGTCCCGAGCCCGGACTCACCTCGATCAACGAGTAATTAATCTCCACGTCGGACTTGACGAAGCCGCCGCAACCCACCACGATATCGTCGGCGCGAGCGGCCAGGCCGAGGCCCAGGCTCAGGCTAAAGCCGAGTCCGGTCAAAGCCAGGAGCTGGAACACAGGCCACGGCCTTACGCCCGCCATCACTGCCCGGCCCAGTGCGCAGGCGCTCACTGCCGGCCGCCGGCAAACTGAAGCCAGTACGCAAGCGCTCTCTGCCGGCCGCAAGAACATGTCCCCTAATGCGCAGGCGTTGATAATGAGCTGCCTCAGTTCAAGATGGGTCACCGCCTTCTCCTCCACACGTATCGCCACCTAGCCACCGGAGACCAATACTGCACACCCTCTTGGTGTCACTGCAGGTCATGAGGAAATAAGAGCATGACCTTGACCAGAATGGAGTTAGTTAGCTCAGTTGACTGGACAGTTGGTTAACACCAACAGGGTGGGCTCCATTGCTGCAGCGGCTGAGGTCAACCTCTCACAGTGACCCTCAGGTTAAACTTAACACCAGCCATCTCTCTGTAATGAGAGTAGCCCTGTGGTCCACTTGTATCCTTTTCCAGGCGCCAGTTATGAGAGAATTGGGAATGACAGCCCTTAACATCAAGGCCACATTTGAAGAAAAAGTAGAGTGAAACTTTGAGTTCAGGGACCCTTCTTCAAAATTGCAGCTGCAATTCTTTGTTTTATTTTACCATAATGTTTACTGGCTTCTTAATGTTTTTGTTCAATTTTTATTCACTTGAATTTTTATTCATTGATCGTTCAGCATTTCAATATTTCTTGAAAATGAGTGAAGAATACCACAATGACAAGGGGCAGTTCTAGCAGCTAAAAATAATTAAAGAGCTTTTCTCCTGCTGATAAATGCTGGGTGGTACACTACGTAGATGTAAATGCTATTGAAGGGGCTCATGTGTCAAAGACATAAGTCTGCAAAGGACCAACTGCAGGGACTATCCGATCCTGTGTGTAGTTCAATCCCAACACCAATTCATTAATTTCAAGTGAGAGGTTTCTTAACAAGCATTCTATTGTAATATCTGGACTGCCAATTTCAATTCAGTTGGAGATAGGAAAGAAGCTGGAAGTTAGTCACCTCTACTGCAGTTATCATTGATGGAAATAGAAAAGTGTTTTTGTTAAAAGGACAATATAACCCAGAGCAGGAGTAGGCCATTCAGCCCCTCAAGGCTGCCCTGCCATTTAATATGATTATGGCTGATCTCATCTTGGCCTCAATGCCACTTTCCATAACACTTCAACCCATTGCTTAATTAAAAATCTATCTCCTGCTTCAATTTACTCAATGTCCCAGCATGCACCAGAGTCTGGGATAGTGAATTCCACAGAGTTATGACCCTTTGAAAGAATTTCTCCATCTGTTTTAAATCTGCTACCTATTCTTCTAAAACTACGACCTTTCATTCTAGATTGCCCCACAAAGAAACATCCTTTTTACTTCTAAAAATAAATTAGAAATACTAGGAGTATTTATCATAAAATGAGAACAAGGCTTCGGGCAGAGGACAAAAGAAAACTCAAGTTTTGAACCTTTAGGTAAATAAATCACACCACATTACCAAGCTTTCAGTATCCATTGCCATGGAACAATTTTACCAGATTAGATGTGCTATATGTGGGATTAGTACATTAGTCATCTTACATTGTAGAATACCACTTCGTAAAATCCATCTCTAAGATGTGGGCCTCACTGGCTCGGCCTCTATTTGTCACCCATCCCAAATTACCACCTGAGAAGGTGCTGGTGAGCTGTCTTTCTTAACCACTGCAGTCCTTTTGTTGCTGGTACATCTACAATGCCATTAGTGAGGATTTTGCAGGTTTTTGACCTGGTGACACAGAATGAATTGCAAGATAGCTTCACATGAGGATGGCGAGTGGCTTGGAGGGGAACTTGTAGATGGTGGTTTCCCATGTTTCTGCTGGGTTTTTTTGGTCCTTCTTTCTGGTAGAGGTCATGGGTTTGGCAAGTGCTATCAAAGAAGCTTTGGCAAGGAGTAGCATTGCATCTTGTCAAAAGGTTCACACTGCCGTGACTTACATCAGTGGTGGAGGGAGTAAATGTTTATTGTACCAATCAAGCAGGATACTTTGTCCAGGATGGTGTCAAGTTTCATAGGCACAGGATGATTATTTGGATAGAAATGGTATGCAGGGAGATGTGGAAAGGCAGGAGATAGGCTGGTGCAAGCACAGTGGGCTGAATAGCCTCCTCCTGTGCCATAACAATTCGAGTGATTCACAAGGGTTGTTGGAACTGCACTAATCCATGCAAGTGGGGAGTATTCCATCACACACTCCCGACTTGTGTCTTGTAGATGGTGGACAGGCTCTGGGGAGTCAGGAGGCGAGTTACTCCCTGCAGTATTCCCAGCCTCTGACCTGCACTTGTAGCCACGGTGTTTATTTATTCATTCACGGGATGAGGGCGTCACTGACCGGGCAGCATTTATTACCCATCCTTAATTGCCCAGAGGGCAGTTAAGAGCCAACCACATTACTGTGGGTCTGGAGTCACATGTAGGCCAGACCAGGTAAAGATGGCAGTTTCCTTTCCTAAAGGACATGAGTAAACCAGGTGGGTTTTTCCGACAATCGATTCATTGAATTCAAAATTCCACCATCTGCCATGGCAGGATTCGAACCCGGGTCCCCCGAACACTGTCTGGGTCACCGGATTAATAGTCCAGCGACAATACCACTAGGCCATCGCCTCCCCTTATGTGGTGAGTTCAGTTCACTTCCTAACAGGATGCTGACACATTAAGGCTACAGTATGGTCACAGTAAACAGCAAACAATGTGCTTCAAGACCCTGGGGTTACAGAAGATCTACTCACAATGATAAGTGAGAACCTGTTCAAATTCAGGCACCTACAATTTTATTAATCATTCCTCATGATTTACAACTCGTGAAATATCACAATTGTCAAAAATAAATGCAGTACCATAATGCACTACAACTTCAATATCTCGATGCTTTGCACCTATTATTTTGATCTTCATATTTATATTTATAGGTACTATAAATATTTAAATAAGCAAGAAATTGTCAACTGAAAGAAAAAATCAAATTTTTAGAAAGCAGAGGTATATGAAAATATTTTGTTTTATACAAAACATTTTTATAAACAGATGCCAATTGCCAACTTATAGGATTTAACATTCGGGTTTTTGTTTGATGTAATGTGTGTAACAACTCAAAAAACTTGAGACAACCCTGAAAATATAATTCAAATTACAAAAGTCCAGAATCCTTTGCCATTTTGTAGAAGGCTCCCTTTCTGTGGAGAAGGGCAGGTATAGCATCAAACTCTACAATCTGGCCTTTGTCCAGAACCATAATCCTACAAAAACAAAAAGATAACGGTTAGGTATTTGAGAAAACACCCGTGTTCTAGTATCAGCTGCAGTAGAAAATGGTTTCACTGTGTAAGATGCATGCTGTCCTGTCCTTACACTAAAACAAGTGACATCCCATTTATCACTATCAACACACCTAAACAAACTGTATGTAAATACATGGCATTATATTACAACAAACACCGTTTTGACCAGCACTCTTAATAAACTGTCAAAATTTATATACTTCAAATATCAGAAATTTACTGTATTATCGTGATCTCCACAATGTCCAAGAAGACAGTTGAGGGTGAGAGTGAGAAGGCTCTCTACCAGTGAGTTTTAGTTAAGGTAAAGTTGCGTTATTATTTCAGTGTTTTATGCTGTAAATAAAGTGTAACAATAATGTGTATATCTCCTGCACTATATCTCTATAACTTAATGTGTTTTTACACTGACAATACTGACCTCTTGATTATCCAGAGTATTTGGTCATCGACAAACTCCTGGTTCCTTATCAGTGAGAATGAATTTGGCATAACCTTTTTCAAAATTCTCAAAAACACCGCTTTGAATGTATACATAAGCTTTATTGTTAATTTATTCTGCCTCAAAGTCAGAAGTCACACAAAACCAGGTTATATTCCAACAGGATAATTGGAAATCACAAGCTTTCGAAGTGCTGCTCCTTCATCAGGTGAAGGGAGCAGCAACTCTGAAAGCTTGTGATTTTAAATAAACTTGTTGGACTGTAACCTGGTGTCAAGACACATCAGAATTTGTCCATCCCTGTCCAACACTGGCACCTTCACATCATTTTCTGCCTCAGACCATCAGTTCCTAAACTGCAACATTCAAACACCACATTATTCAAAAACAGAAGGTGCTGGAGAAAATCAGCAGGTTTGGCAGCATCTGTGGACAGACAGCAGAGTTGATATTGAGTCCAGTCACACTTCTTCAGAGCCATGGACCAGAAACATTAACCCTGTTTTCTCTGCACAGATGCTGCCAGATCTGCTGAGTTTCACCTGTAATTTCTGTTAAACAACATTATTCAAATTGGGTCAGCAAGTTGCAAGCTGAATCCCAGGCTGTCAAAAATAAAAAAGGTAGAAAACACTTTCTCCATCATCCACTATATTATCAGAACCAAAACACTACATAAGTGGTTTAGACCTTAGCACTTCCGCACCAGGAACTCAGTAGGTGTAGCTTCATCTCAATTGACATACAGGATAGCCCCCAGCAGGTGGCAATGTTGTTTTCTTTTTGTTTCCATCGTGAAAGTAGAACTGAAACCTTTATCTGCTGAATCTGAGTTGGTGCATGTATGGCTTGGTTTCTTCCGCTGACTATAACACAAGCCATAGCAACAACTGGACTATCCAGTTTTACTGTTAATCATTTCAATTTCCTTTTTGAAAATCACATAACCTGCACGAAAATAGTTCTAAATGTCCAAACTCAAGGAATTTACTATTTTCAGTCTGTGAAACACTCAGCCTAAAACAGAATCTGAACATGCAATGTCATTTATCTCCATGTGCAATTACTCTGAATACATTCAAGTGCAAACCGTTTGCAAGAATAAAGACTTGTGTTCAGAACTTCACTTTTTAAAAAGTACATTAAAAGAAAACATCGATATTAAACTGTTTTTAAAAACTGAACTTTTTCTTCCCTCGTCAAGTTTCACTCTGAAAGTTGTCATATGATTTGTTCATGTGCTTTTGTGATGACACTTTATTAATAGATGCATATCACAAGTGAATTGGCAAAGTTTCCCAAAATCCAACCCCTGTAGATGGAGCAGAGACCAGATTCCTTCCCTTCCTGTGCTAACCACGCTGCTATTCTAAACTAATCATTGGCCTGCACATTGTCCACATCTCTTTATTCCGTGTCTGTTCATGTATCTGTCAAGTTTGCAAATGACACAAAGATTGACTGGGTGGTTGGCAGCGAGGAGGATGGGGTTAGGTTACAGCAGGAGAATTATAGATGGAACGGTCAGATCAGTGGCAGATTCATTTAATCCTGGAAAATGTGAGGTGATGCACTTTGGAAGAAGTAACAAGACAAGGAGTACTCAATCAATGTCAAGACAATAGGAAGTTTAGAGGAACAGAGGGACCTTGGGGTGCTTGTCAACAGATCCCTGAAGCCAGATCAATAGGGTAGTTTAGTTTAGTACTACTAATAGGTAGTGTTAAGATGGCATAAGGGACACTTGCCTTTATTAGTCATGGCAGAGATTCTAAAGACAGGGAGGTTCTGTTGAAGCTGTACAGGACTTAGGTTAGAGCACAGCTCGAGTACTGTTTGCAGTTCAGGTCACTGCACTATAGGAAGGATGTGATTGCACTGGAGGGGGATGCAGAGGAGATTCACCAGGATGTTCAGAACAAAAACAAAGTTGCTGGCAAAGCTCAGCAGGTCTGGCAGCATCT